CCGTTGAGCTGTGAATGGACCAGACGACCCAAAGAGTGATAGAGCTCAGAAAGGACTGGAGTCGAAAGCAGGCGGAGGAAGGCATCATCGAACAAGTTGACCACTGACAGCACTTGCCCGCTCGGCAGGTTGTCGACCTCAGTAGACGGACTAGTTAGGTCAAGCGAGCAAGGTCTGTGAATTATAGACTTAGCAGCTCCATCCGCCCCAATGCTAGTCACCTGGCGTTGTAGCAGACAACGCAAACATGCATTTCGATAGATGCCCGAAGTAACTGACAACGCCCTGCGACGCTGAAGCCTTATAGCTCGCCCTTCTAATTCTATATCAGCCACCGGTCGTGGTTGACTGTTTGATGAATGAATCTGTATCTGCTCCACTTTCAACTCCGAAACGGGATCTTGGCCACTAAACAGATGAAGTTGGATAGAAGAGAAGGCAGTCTCTGTTTCAGCAAGCAAATCGTCTAATGATGAGTAACCACTTTCACTTTCTGAATCGATTTCCATCGCAGAAATAGACGTCTTGGATGAAACCTGAGCAGCAACTGAATTTTGTTGACTCCCTGTTTGCTGTATTAGATAAGCGAGAGTCTCGCGCATCTGGAAAAGCATGCGCTTTAACCGAGTAGCTAGTTTAAAGGAGGTCGAGCCTTTCTTAGGGGCTTTATTCAGGCGGATAAGTAGCATCTCCAAGCGATCCTGATGACTTGAAAGTCGGCTCACGTCCAGCCGCTGGTTGGCGTAAAAGCTCACCAGATCACGAGGTACAACAACTTGAAATGAGGGGTCTTGGTTATCAAATGATTGCGAAAGATCCCTGAACAGGTCTTCGCTAAGTTGGAGACTCGTCTCTATTGCCTGATTTTTGCACGATAAGCAAGAAAGAAGGCCATCAGTCTGCTCTTTTAACCTGGCGATAAGATGATTCCAATCTGTAAGTACAACTTCACTACCCGTTTCTATGCAATGGGGCTGCACCCCAGTATTCGACAAAGGCTGGGTATAAGGCGATAGAGCTTCAGAGAGACAAAATACAGCTCCATAGATGTTCTTAATATCGGAAGCGGTCTCCTTTTGTACGGAGACGTGTGAAACGAAGGTAGCATGAAGCTTCTCTATCATAGAGAGTAGTTCTTTATTTGACGCCTCGCGAGACCAGATCTGATTTAGTCCGAGGCATTCAGACAGATTCTTGACGCAGGAGAGTAAAATATCCAGTCTTTTGGATAGCCATATTTTTTCATCTCTCTGTTGACTGAGTGAAGAATCTTGATTCCGTACCAGGTTGCAAATGCGCTCGAGTCCAGGGCCATGAGACTTAGAATAGTCAGCAGAGTCAGTGTCGGGTTGATCATTAAGAAGAAATGAAATGCTCTGAGCATACGAGTGAAGGAGTTCCCAATTGTTCTCGGCGTCAGATAGGTCACGAATCACGAGGCTAAGCATCCTATTCAATGATTCAGTTGGACTCTCGGTACTTTTTCCCAGAGATAGATGTATTGGTATTGGCTCATTCTGGCATACTAAGCC